CTGTGAGCACTTGGAATCCTCAGGAGGAAACTCACACTGAGTGGAAAAAAGAGGGGAAAACTCTTCCCTTATGCACCAGGATGGAAAAACCAGGAGAAAAACCATGGGAAAACCACGGGATTCCAAGCTGGCAGTGCTGCCAAGGCCGTGGGCACTTGGAATCCTCAGGAGGAAACTCAACTGAGTGGAAAAAAGAGGGAAAAGCTCTTCCCACTGCCTGTGGCCGCTGTTCCCGGGGGTGGCAGATTTTGGGGTGTCCTGGAGGAGCTGGGGGTGCAGCTCAAAGCCAAAGATCTCCACGCTGGCCAGCAGCGAGCCAAGGGAAGGGTTTGTCACCCAAACCAAAAATAAATTCTCTTTCTGGGCTGGAGATTCATGAGCTGGAGGATGCTCTGGACTTACTCCGAGGATACACAGTGAGTATTTGCACCGTGGCAATGCTCCCCACACACCAGTCCCTAAACACACCAGAACCTGCAAAGTGCTGTTCTTGCTTGGGGATTTTTTGGGGGGGTTTGTTTGGTTTTTGTTCTTCTTCTTCTTCTTTTAAAAAAACAACAAAAAAGTGATTCCCAAAATTTAAAGGATTTTGCAACTTGGAGGCAGAGGAGGCTCCAGGATTTGCAGGACTTGGAAGAAGGTGGTGGCGAGGTTTTGTCCCCAAAGGTCGTTGAGGTGGGCGAGTGCCAGGCTGCTCCTTCTCCTACTCCATTCCTCCGTGCTGCTCCCGCTCAGGACATGCTGGGCAGAAAAAAAGAGACAGGAGGGATTTTCAGGCTGGAAACGGAGGTAAAAATGTTATTATTGCCAGCACATCAACAAAAAAATGAGTGGATTGGGGTGAAATCGTTCACAAAACTGTTATTATTGCCAGCACATCAACAAAAATGAGTGAATTTGGGTGAAATCACTCACAAAACTGTTATTATTGCCAGCACATCAACAAAAATGAGTGAACTTGGGTGAAATCGTTCACAAAAATGTTATTATTGCCATCACACCAACAGAAAATGAGTGGATTTGGGTGAAATCGTTCACAAAAATGTTATTATTGCCAGCACATCAACAAAAATGAGTGAACTTGGGTGAAATCATTCACAAAAATGTTATTATTGCCAGCACACCAACAAAAAATGAGTGGATTTGGGTGAAATCACACACAAAAATGTGTTTGGGACCCTGATGGTGCCAGTCACAGCTCTCATGGGCAGAGGGGACAATGCCTGGGGTGGCACCAGGCTGGGACATCCTGGGCCTGACCCAGGCTTGGCTTTCCTGGCACAGGATTTGTGTCCCAGACACACCCAGAGCTCAGACCTGGTCTCCTGATCCTCTGCCGGGGGCACAGGCCTGCTGCAAAGAGAGGGAGAATGAACTCATAAATCCCCAGCAAGAAGGAAAAATGAAATAATAGATCCCCAGCAAGAAGAAAAAATGAAATAATAAATCCCCAGCAAGAAGAAAAAATGAAATAATAAATCTCCAGCAAGAATAAATAATGAAATAAAAAATCCCCAGCAAGAATAAATAATGAAATAATAGATCCCCAGCAAGAATAAATAATGAAATAAAAAATCCCCAGCAAGAATAAATAATGAAATAATAAATCCCCAGCAGTGAGCTCCTGGGCATTCCTTGGAATCCTTCAGCCTCATCCAGTGCACCTTCCCCTGCTCCCCTCAGGAATTGGGGTAAGAAGAGAGGCTGTGTCCTCTGGTCAGGGCCAGGAGCAGAGGTTTTATCCTCCAGAATTCCCCTTCCCTACAGCTCCTGAACCCTCTGGGAATGTCCTGGAGGATCCCAGGGGTGCTCCCGAGCCTTGGGGCTCTTCTCATCCCCAGAGAGAAGATTTATCCTTCTCCAAGGGAAGGATAAAGCAGAGGGAAGGATTAATCAGAGGGAAGGAAAAATCAGAGGAAAGGAAAAATCAGAGGGAAGGAAAAATCCAAGGAAAGGATAAATCAGAGGAAAGATTAAATCAGAGGAAAGGATAAATCAGAGGAAAGGAAAAATCCGAGGAAAGGAAAAATCCGAGGAAAGGATGAATCAGAGGAAAGGATAAATCAGAGGAAAGGAAAAATCCAAGGAAAGGAAAAATCCGAGGAAAGGATGAATCAGAGGAAAGGATAAATCAGAGGAAAGGATGAATCAGAGGGAAGGAAAAATCCAAGGAAAGGATAAATCCGAGCCCTTACCTTTCCCTCTCAGCCATGTCTTTGTTCTCCTCTGCCCTATAAACACAAATCCCATGGGAATCCATCCCCCGGGGAAGGAGGGAGACCCCAGAGCCTTTCTGGGGTGATGGGTGGCCCTTGGAGAGGAGCCACTCTCCATCCCTCCCCAGATCCATCTCACCTTTCTCTTCTGGCCTTGATCCTCTCTTCTTCATATCTGCAACAAAGACAAAAGCTCCTTTAACTCCTCTGCTCCCTTAGTCCCGTTCATGCTCGCTGGGGGTGAGGAGCCCCAGGTCTGAGGCTGCTCCTGGCTGAGGCCAGCTTTGCCCCAGGCTCTTCCCAATCCGTGGATTTGGTCCCAGCCCTGGGCTGGAATCTCCGGTGGCCCTCCCCGGGTCCCTCTGCACTCACTGCAGGACGCAGTCTGGGATCTGCACGTGCTCCATGGGGATCAGCTGCTCCAGCTCCTCCAGGCTGTGCACGTACTGGATCTTATTGATGAACTTCACACTGCAGAGAGGCAGAGAGACACGGGCACTGCCACCCCGGGGCTCCTGAAGCACCTCTGGAAGGGTCCGAGGGACGTGGGACCAGTGACAGCTTCACCTCGGCCAGCCCTGCCTAAGGGTGAGCTAAAAATCTGATTTGTGAGATTCAACCCCAAGGAATGGCTGGGGCTGTGCCGGGGGGTGGGATGGAG